TTCTGCTTGCCCCGACGTCTGCGGATGGTATGGGGTGGCCACCTTATGCGAAATTCCGTATTTCTTCATCAACTTCTCAAAAATCCGGTTACAGAAGTGTTTGCCTCCATCTCTCACGATGGCACGTGGAAATCCAAACCTACTCAAGATATTTCCTCGCAAAAACTTAATAACCACATTAGCATCACATGTCCGTGTGGGGATAGCCTCGACCCATTTGGACACGTAATCTACAGCAAGGAGGATATATTCGAAACCAAAAGATTTGGGAAACGGTCCCATGAAATCAATGCCCCAAACATCAAAAATTTCAACTTGTAGATTATTTACAAGGGGCATTTCATTCCTAGGACCAATGTTCCCACGTCGTTGGCATCGATCACATGATTTGCAAAAGCTATGAGCGTCTCTAAAAAGAGTTGGCCAAAACAAACCTAATTGGAGGACTTTAAAGGCAGTCTTTCGACCTCCAAAATGTCCTCCACAATTGAACTCGTGGCAAAAGGCGAGAACATCTGCTTGCTCGTCCTCGGGCACGCATCTCCGAATGATATCATCCTTGCCCACCTTGAAGAGGAGTGGGTCATCCCAAAAGTAACTCCTACACATCAACACAAAACGTTTCCTCTCTTGGGAAGAGAGGTTAGCCAGCAAGACACCATCCGACAAGTAATTGACAATATCAGCATACCAAGGGACATTAGTCACTTCACTTGCATGCTCATAAGGAAAATCATCGTTTATACCAACATGTTCATGCAATGCAAGTGAAGGTTCAGAAGAGACAATACGAGAAAAATGATCAGCAACAACATTTTCACAACCTTTTCTATCTTTAATCTCTACATCAAACTCTTGTAAAAAAAGAATCCACCGAATAAGCCTAGGTTTCGATTGAGTTTTACTCAAAAGATACCTAAGGGCTGCATGGTCTGAATGCACAATTACTTTAGATCCCAAGATATAAGACCTAAATTTTTCAAGAGAAAACACAACAGCCAAAAGTTCTTTCTCAGTGGTAGTATAATTCAATTGGGCACCATTGAGAGTCAAACTAGCATAATAAATCACACGAAGCAATTTATCAACTCGTTGGCCCAAAATGGCCCCCACAGCAAGGTTTGATGCATCACACGTAATTTCGAAAGGTAAAGACCAATCAGGTGCAATCACAATAGGAGCAGTCACAAGCTTATTCTTCAATTTATCAAAAGCCTCTAAACATGCATCATCAAATATGAATGGCACATCATTAGCAAGCAAGTGACACAAAGGCTGGCTGATTTTTGAAAAATCCTTAATAAATCGTCTATAAAAGCCATAATGCCCTAAGAAACTCCTAACACCTTTCACATTCACAGGCGGGGGAAGTTTTTCAATAACATCAACTTTCGCCTTGTCAACCTCAATCCCCCGATTCGACACTACATGACCAAGCACGACTCCACTAGTCACCATAAAGTGACTTTTCTCCCAACTCAAAGTTAAATTCGACTCAATGCATCTTTCAAGAACTCGAGTTAAGCTATGCAAACAATCAGAAAAAGAGGTACCAAAGATTGAGAAGTCATCCATGAATACCTGCAAGCAATCCTCGAGCATGTCGGAGAAAATGGAGAACATGCACCGTTGGAAGGTACCAGGTGCATTGCAAAGGCCGAAAGGCATCCGTCTGAAAGCAAATGTCCCGAATGGGCAAGTGAAAGTTGTCTTGGGCTGATCCTCTGGAGCTATGGCCACTTGGTAGTAGCCTGAAAGTCCGTCGAGAAAGCAGTAGAACTGGTGGCCCGAGAGTCGGTCGAGAATCTGATCAATGAATGGCAATGGAAAGTGGTCCTTCTTTGTCACGGCGTTGAGTCGTCGGTAATCAATACACATTCGCCACCCGGTAGTGATTCGGGTGGGGACCATCTCCTTCTTCTCGTTTTCGATCACTGTGATGCCTCCCTTCTTGGGCACCACATGAATGGGACTCACCCACTCACTATCGGCCACTGGATAGATAAGCCCTTCGGAATAGAGCTTCAGCACTTCCTTCTTTACCACTTCCATCATATTCGGGTTGAGCCTCCGTTGGCAGTCCCGAAAAGGCTTAGCACCCTCCTCCAGAATGATCCGGTGCATGCATGTGGAAGGGCTGATGCCCTTAATGTCCCCTAGACTCCAACCAATGGCCTTCTGGTTTCTCTTAAGTACCTCGATCAGCTCCTTCTCCTCTTCCCGGTTAAGCTCGGCAAAGATGATGACCGGCTTTTGCTTCTCATCGTCGAGGAACACATATTTGAGGTGACGAGGTAGTTCCTTGAGCTCAAGTGTGGATGGGTTCGGTTTGTCGGGCTCGTCTGCTGCAAAGAGCTCAATGGTGGGCTCTTCTTCTTCTTCAAGGTCGGGCATTGTCCTCTCCTCTAAGTCTCGAATGGTCATTTCCTCGACAAATGGATCGCTAACGTCAAACAAATGCACACTCTTCCACAAAATTAACCGAGGATGCTGAGGTGTCTTCTCGGACTGAGATAGATACGGATTCCCCTAAGACAGTCATGTTCAAGGTTCCGTTCCTCACGTCAATGAGTGTGTTGGTAGTGGCTATGAATGGTCTACCAAGAAGGATGGTGTGATCCTTCCCATTCTCCTGAACGTCCCCCACATCTAGTACCACAAAGTCCACCGGGACGATAAGCTTTCCCACACGAACAAGAACATCTTCCACCACTCCTTTGGGGTATCGAATGGAACGATCAGCAAGTTGAAGGCACATACGGGTTGGTCTCAAATCACCGAGACCCAATCGCTGAAAGATCGAGAACGGCATAAGGTTGATTCCCGCTCCAAGGTCGAGCATCCCCGAAGCCTCTTTTCTGTTCCCGAGAGAAATTTTTATCACGAAACCCCCGGGGTCCCGTTCTTTCTTTGGGAGATCATCCTGCATGGCACTCGCTGCCTCATAAACCACCACTTTCTCTCCATCTCCAAATTTCCTCTTCTTCGTGACCAAATCCTTGAAGAACTTCACGTAAGAAGGCATGTTCTTGATCACATCCAGGAGCGGTAAGTTGACGTTGACTTTTGAGAGCATGTTGTATAAATCCCGGAATTGTTGCTCTTGTTTCTCATCTCGAAGTCGGCTTGGAAAAGGGATGCGTGGCTTGTAAAGGTTTGGAGACTTGTGAAGTAAGGGACTCTCTGACGGTTTTACAGAGTTGGTTTCTATGCTCTTCTTGCCCTCCTCGGTTTCTTTGGGCTGGTCGGTTGGTTTGGGGTCATCGGGCTCGGGCTTTCTCACCTTGTTGTCCACTTCCTTCCCGCTTCTCAACACAGTGATCGCCTTTGCTTGCTCGGGTTGGCTCGGAAGTTTCCCTTTGTCTGACTCAGCCTCCATGTTCCCGACTCTTGTGGCAAGCTGGCCCACATGCGTCTCGAGACGCTTAATAGATGAGTCCTGGTTGGTGATGAACTGAAGGATCTTGTCTAGCTTGTCATCTTGGTTCGACGAGCTCGAACCAGACTCTTGGGCTT